TGTAATGCCAGAGAAGAAAATAAGTTTTAGAACAATATTAATACTATAATTATCTACTATATCATTTTCCAACAGAGGCCTGGAAGTCAATAGTTGTTCCACTGATTTTGCACAGGGTAAAATGAACCTGTATTTGATGCTATTTTATTCCAATTTTAGCATTATGACTATGAAGTTGCTGAAAAACAAAAGGTGTTAGAAAACAAGTGTTTGCTCTTACTCTGAGGTTGAGATGCATCTTGTACTCCTGGGAGACTGACTATGGTTTCAGTGAAACTTCCCTTACACAAGTTAGATGGCAACTGTTGTATCCACCCCATGCACAACCAGAATCCCGAGGCTGCAGACCCAAGGTCCTTCTGATCCACTTCACCAAGCAATTTGCTGCTGAAACTATAGCTGAATATATATGCAGAAGAAGTTCTAGTGAAATTTTATTTTAATTATTTTTAAATTCAGTCATAGCTAAAATAGATCACTCAACTTGAAACAAGGTTCACACATTCTTAACCTAAAATAACTAAAGGCCTAAATTAATCAAACATTTTGGTTACTATTTCTGTGCAACAAGCCTGTATTTTCAAAACCACAAATGCTACAAACTGTAGGTTTCCACACCTGTTAGGGCATATTAGACCAATGAAGTCAGTCCAAGACAAAGAAATTACAGGGTTGTGTCTATATTGAAAGCAAGAATCTTTATCTTGGAAAGACTTGAATGCAAACTTAAGTCTTCTACACAGCAGCCAAGCTAGTGAAGACAAAGACTCATTCTGCCTAAACCCAGTGGTCACTAAGCTCATCTGTACAGCCCATGGGCTCTTCCCTGGCTTATTCATTTAGAATTAGCCTCAATATTATTCACCTCCTATTTCAACTCCCCAGCAGAGTTCTGGGCAACCATCCCTTGCTCACCTGCTTTGACAGGTTTCTACTACATGACCTCTCACAGTCCTTTCCAGCCTCAGCTACCCCATGATTCTGTAACAGACAATAATCATCCTTCCATGATGATGATTCCACAGTTTCCCAACTTTCACTGACACCACTTGCCAGCAGCCCCACAGTTTCAGGGAGGCTGAGCGTCTTGCCCAAGGCCACACAACTTAGCAGAGCTGGAAACACACAAGAAATCCTGATCCCCAGCCTTTTGCCAAACCAGCAAAAAGCAACAGTGCTTCACCTTTCCTAGTTGGCTCCTAGTGCTCTTACTTTGGGAAGGTGAAGTGCAGGGGACATGCAAAGCTGCTTTCAGAAGCTCCAGCCTGTACGTGCACATCTCAACCTGCTGCAGGGCACCCCAACATCATCATCTTCCCAAGATGGCACGTCTGACCTTGTAACTGAACACTGGGGAGAAAGGAATGGGGAGAAATTCTGGACAGCTGGCACTAGAATCTGTTAAGCCAGCAAAAGAAAGACTTAAAGAGATCATAGAACATGATTTAAAACACTTATTGGATGTTACTTTATTACATAGCTTAAAATTGTCATTATATTGATGGTGGCACAGTCTTAAAAGAAAAGAAAGTGTGAGATAACATGTTTCTAGATGTAAAGAGATATAACACTACTGAATTAACATTCCACAACAGCATTCATTTCTCCATTCTTCATATTGAAATGGAATAAAAAAAATTCTCAAGTTGTAAAACATTTTGTTGGAAGTTCTAAGCAAAAAAACCCCCAAACAACAGAGTTTTTAATAAATAAAAATGCTTGCTTCCATTGTGTTTTGTCAGCTTCACATTCTTTTTTCTATAAAACTTAAAGTGTCTACACTTTTAAAAGTTTATTGGCAAGATTCAAAGAGCAGTTTTAAAGCCTCAAGGATATGTACTTTGTTTTTAAATAGAGCATAGGTTTTATAAATAGGTAGTTACAGAAAACAATAAAATAGACAGTAACACAATTTCATTTGTAACTGTGTTTCCAAGTGATATTTTAAATTCCTGAATCCAAACCATCTCCAATAGGAGTAACATATTTACATATGAAAACATTTTACATTTGGGAAAACATTTAGCTCCCACATGATTTTGCTTGCATTGTACATTCAAACTGAAAAATATTTTGGTTCTTCAACATTAAGCACCTTATAGAATATTTTAATCACAAGATAAACATTCTGTAAGTCTGGGGGGTGGTGTTGGACAGACAACCAGTTTTCAAAGATCTGGACGCCAAGTTTCTTAATGAGCTGTACATTACTCAAACACACTGTGCACTAAACTCAAGTTCAAAAGGCCAGTCCAGACAGATTTTTCCAAAGAGGAAAATTGAGCTGAAAGGGCCTTCTCAGTCAGCAAGTCCTGACCACTGCTTTTCCTGGCATCACTTCGTACCAGCCTCTTTCAGAAACACAAAACCAATTCCACCCACACCAGCTCCAACCAAAGTTGTCTCCGAACTCAACTGCTGTTACAGGTAAAAAGCTTAATCTCTATTCAAGCTTAGATTTATCACAACTACCTTATACCCCCCTCATTCTCAGGCTAACACTGGTCTTTAGCTTAGTTATTTTCTCCTTCTACGAGTTTGATCCTCTGACTGTACTCACAAGCTGCTATCCTCCTCATCCTCTCTCAGCCAGTATTTTACTGCTCCTTATTCCCCAGCAATCATCTCTGCACCTCAGGAAATGTCCTGGGTTTGAAAAGTAGCTTGGTTTTGCTGTAACTGATCAAATGCTGGGCTTCACAGAAAATAGAAAGGCCTAGAAAAACACCTGTATTGTGAAAAAGTTGGGGATAAAGCCAGCATCAACATTCAACCTTCCATCCAGGCAATAAAAGGTCAAAGCCAAAGGACTCTAAAAATATATTCCGAAACAATTTAACAAATTCTTCATGCTGCTTTACCTACCTACCAGGAATTTAACCCTAAAATACTGCTCTATTTCCTGCAGTAGGAGCATGACATCTGTCACTTACATGTCATATATATCTTAACCATCACCTGCAGTAGCAAAAATCGCCATCTGAAAAGATGCTAGGAGCTGCCATGTGTCTTCACTCCATGATTGAGACCCACCATCAGCACAATCCAGACAAAAAACTAAATTACTTCCCTTTCATCTACAGAATCTTGTCAAGAATACCACTGAGAATGAGTGTGGATAAACAAGAAAACAGAAATCTTTGGAAGCAGTTTGCCTGGTCATGAAGCACTGAAATTCCATCATAATATTATCAGGTTTTAGGTAACTATCTGCTAAGCAAGAAACAGCTTTGTTGCTGAAAAAAGAACAACATCTTATGGAATGGCTTTACAGCAATCTATCTCAGCATTTCTCAACACTACAATATATACACGTAGATAATAAAAAAAAAATAAATCTATATTTGTGTAGAGATATCAAGAACCTAAATCCCACAACAGAAGTATTTCGTTTCTTAAACTAGCAGTAGCAACAAATTTTGTCCTCCTCACTGCAATATAACAAGTATACTGATTAACTAACAACATATTCCATAGTACAATTTTTCTGTTTCCACACATGGGTATTTTTCTGGTAGTTCTCAGATAAAATGCAAAAGCTATTAACTTTTTACGTTTTACATACACGACTTATGCACCCACATCAGACTTCAAGTTAAAAATCAGAACCCTACAGAGATCTCTTTATCATACTCCAATCTGAGTATTTCAACAAATACAAATTGAAAATTACTTTTACACCCTGGACTGTATTTTTTAATGTAATCCAACATTATTGAACCTAGTAATTGCTTCAGACAGCTGTCTCAGCAGAGGATTGAAAGAACAAGGTTTATTAAGTAACAAACAGCTAGCTACTGGGTAATTTATTTCTCATTGAGAGTATTTTTAATATTAATGATTTAATGATCAAAACCTGCATTTTGATATTTCAAGTTCAGTAGCAAATGTAGACTGTCTTAACTCACAAAGCCTGGATCCAAAGATCCCAAGCAGGTTTAGATCAATTTATGAAGTGGGTTCTGGAGCATTGCTGGTATCCAGACACTTATCTTTACAAGCAACTGACAGTGCAGTGTCTTGACACACAGTAAGTTATCTGATGAAGTGAGATAGCTACAAAGACCAATCTGTAAAGATTGTAAAGGCAGTCTGCTTGACACCAGTCCAAACTATTCAGGTTCATTTAAGGAGTGCTAGTAGACACTGGTAGTGAGCACTAACTACATTGCTGCCTTCTTAAAAGCTGAACATTTTGGCTAATAGCACATTGTTCATACTTAATTCAGATGTTGCAGGAGTTTTTGGCTCAGGAGAGATTGGGAACAAGCAAACTTCCCAACCAATTCAACCTTTATTCTTAGAAGTAGGAGTGTTCTGGGGCATGGATTGAGGAAAAGGTGTCTATAATGTTAGAAAGCAAACCCAAAACCTCTGGGGTGTCTCTGCTTCACAGGAATCCAGATCACAAACAGTGACGTGATTCAAAAAGCTCAAGAGTATGGAAAGCTGGAACCAGGCATTTGTAAAAAAAAAAAAAAAAAAAAAAAAAAAGGCGTTTGATAGGAACCATTTTTGGTAGAAAAGTCTATAGAAGCAAGAGGGGTCCTGGAAGTTGTGAAGTAAGGCACATCTATCTGCAAACACTGAACCTTCAGTATTTTGCAGACACAGTAATTTATAAAATTTAACACAGTACTAAACTTGATTATACATAAAACAGCCTGTTATAAGGCCAGGGAAATAAAATTCTGGTTCCTTGGTTTTCTTAATTGAATCTTGTCATTTTGCAAGAATAAAAAAAAAATCTATACTGTAAGCTTCATGGAATGGTGGCAACACAGCCCTGTTAGCAAGCATGAACAGCCCCTGCACCACTTCTATTTGGTAAGACTAGGTTGAAAAAAAAAAGACAAAACCCTGTAGAGTCACTGCAAAAACTAGCTTTCTACATTAAAGAATAAATAGATTTGAAAAGACCTCCAGAAATGATCAATGAGTGCAGAGACTTCTAGACAGTTGTTTTGGTTGTTTTTTCATTTTGCTTCAGGTTTTTCATAAGCCTTTCATAATGCTGTGTCATCTTCTCTAAAGTCTCCCACTAGAAGAGAATGTTTATCAGGTTCATTAAGAACTATGCTGTTCACTGAACGCTTGTCTGAAAAGAGAGAATTTATAGAGGCTCTACTGTAATTGATGATTTGATCCATTAAGCTCAGTTTGGGAGAATCTGTCCCAGTCTCATCAATTCCAATGTGGACACTGATTTCTGATGGGCTCTTGTGCCTCATTTGGCTGCGGGCTCGGAACTCGAGTTTCTCAGAACTCGGTTTCTGGTACCTAAGGAAGGAAAAAACAAAAGACAATACATTTCAGACGAAGTGAAGCACACTAAAATATGGGAAGAAATCATAGCCTACATGCTATGATCATGGACAAGACAGAGACATTTGTAATTTGATAGGTGATAAACTGATGAAAGTTTCAGATTTTGCAAGGCTACTACATAACCAGAAGATAATTCCATGTTTTTTGGCAGGATGCAGAACAGGTAAAGCTGACACGCATCACTCAGTATTTAACTGGTTTGGTGCTGCTGAGGATCTTGCTAAATGTACTGACAAAACATAAGTACTAGTAGTGGGCCATTGTAGCTATAATTTAGCAATTATTCTACGCTCCTTCTGAAACCTCGTGTGTTAACTCAATAGCAAAAGACACCAGTCCCACCACAGTGCTCCACTACTTCTAACGGTGGAGCAGGGACAATGACAACATGTGTTTACAGCTGCATTCTCTCAGAAGCCAGCATGTCCTGACAAGATTTCTCACAAATATACAAAGCCCACTAAAGAATTTTCCATTCTGAACATGCTTCTGATTTGTACATTTACCTTCAGACTACAAATGACATTTCTAAACACTACTGTCTGAAGCACTTTGAACAATGTGACTCCTCATGCAACAACAAAATCAACTGCTGCTAAACAGAAACCTACCTGAACTGTCCTTCACAGAGCTTTGAACTCTGTCAGTCCCACACTTCTTTTCTGCCATTCAAAGTGAAAGACCTGAGCTTTAAATTCAAATTAAAACAATGAAAATTGTTCATACTCACATCTTTAAAAGCAAAGAGGAAAGCACAACAGAAACAGAGGAGGCAGCCATTGCTGCAGATCCCATCCAGGGCTGCAAAACCAAACCAATGGGCAGGAAGACACCTAGAAAAAGAAAACAGCAATAAGCTTAGAACAGGAACACAGCATTATTCATATCTTAACACATATAATTCAATATGGACTGTCTAATTTTAGTTGTATTTCAGTAAGTTGATAAATAGGACTTGAGTGTGAAATGACAAATATTTAATATACTAGTGTGTTCTATCTCAGCTAGAACCTACAGGTGAATGCAGCTGATGTCTCACTTGCACAGTCTGGAATTCAGAGGTAAGCACATCTTCCTGCCTTGTAGTAAACTGCTTGTTCACAGGATCAGGCTCATTCAATAAACATTTTCTCTTATTTTGATGTACTGAGCATATCAATAACAGTCATAGTATGGGAGAAGAACAGCTCACAAATTTACCACTGCAACATCCCCAGGCAGAGAACTCTGCACTTAGTGACAATCAGAAATTAGGAAAGTGGATACTCTTCCCCACAACAGAAAGTCACTGCAATCTTCTAAGCACACTTTTACTACTGCAGGGAAACAGTCACTTACCAGCAGCTATGGGAACTCCAATGAGATTATAAATTAGAGCAAAAACAAAGTTGATCCGGATCCTTTTCACAGTTTTCCTTGATAAATCTATACTTGCTACCACATCCATCAAGTCATCCTGCAAGATAATATATTTATTGAAGAAGTCAGAGATAAAAGAAAACCCCATGGGTAGTGGCATCATACTCTTATTTCAGAGCTGACTACTGTACACTGGATGTAACACACCACATGCAGTAAGTGTTCTGTAGGCTGCTCTAATTTGTCTGCAGAGAGCCCCTACAATCATCATAATCTGAATCATGTATAAAGCACCACGATGTACAGTTCTAGACACTGACCACAATTTCTGTCAAGGTGTTGTTGATATGTAGGATGAAGTGACTTACAGCCTTGGAGGTATCATGGTATGTTACAGAAATATAACGTGCCAAAGGTCAGGTTAGTTTTTCTTCCTTTGCCCACTCTCAAATTTTAAGTACCCCAAAATTTCTAGTACCCAGAAAATGAGGAAGTTTCCTTCACAGGATAATTGCCACTACACATAACAAACATGGTGAAGACAATCTCTTCTCTGCTCCAGTCCTCCTGGCTGACTAAGGTTGCACATCTCAGCAGTGTTTTGAATCATTCAATACATCCTGGGCCTTCTAGCCCCTCCTATTTAATGAAGCATTCTTGTTTCTTACCTTAATTAGAACCACATCAGCTGCTTCAATAGCTACATCAGTCCCTGTGCCAATAGCAATTCCCACATTGGCCATAGCAAGAGCTGGGGAGTCGTTGATACCATCTCCAACCATGGCCACCCGTTTTCCTTCATCTTGTAACTGTCTCACTTTGGCTACTTTGTGGGAGGGCAGAACTTCTGCAAACACTTTGGTGATGCCAACCTAAAGAGAAAGTACAAAATTGTCTTGCAGCTTTTCTACGACTTATCAGAGCTTCTGCCTTGAATAACATGACAAGGAAGGCTGAAACCCATCTTACCACTCATGAGCTAAATATTAAACCCACCTGGTATGAAAATAGCTCTGAATTCAAAGGTGACGCTGTTTCCATTCAGAAAGGCTTCTTTATTCTGAATTTGTCTACATCACCATTTTTCACAACAGACCAGTTCTATGCCAGCCACAAGCAGTATCAACATGACACATCATGTACATTCCTGTATGAAGGCTGTAGCTTCACACCCAAACACATGTACAACCACTCACCTGAGAGGCAATAGATCTTGCTGTTTTGCTGTTGTCACCAGTCATTAGGACAACTTCTAATCCCATACTCTTCAAAGTGTAGACTGCCAGCTCAGCCTCTGGCTTCACAGTATCAGCAATAGCTATCAAGCCACAAAGCACTCCTGAAAAAACAGAAATTGTTTGTAATAAAGATCTTTATTGTTTTAGGAAAAAAACCACAACACTTTAGTTTTCCCCTAGGAAGGCCAATTACAGAAATGGTATTACTGACAGAAAGAACAGAGTAAGAACAGGTATCAGAGCAGTAATGTTTAAGGCAATAGAGAGCACTGGACTGACCATTAAAAAAACATCCCTTTTTTTCTCTCCTTTCTTCCCCTTTGCTCTCTTTGAAGTCTTTGCATTACGTCCAACTCTCCTGCCAACTAAGGCAGACAGGAAGAGGTGATACTCTCATATGAAAGTGCTACAAAACTAACTCTTTTCAACCCATTATTCTACTTCAGGTAAGACCACTATGACATGACTACTTAGTACTATGTTTAAATAGCAACAAATCAACCTCTGAATTAAAAAAAAAAAAAGGAGCAGTAAACTTACCATCAACAGCTGCTAGAACTGCTGTGCGACCTCTCTGCTCATGTTCCATCATGGCTTTATCAACTTCATTTTTAACAATGAGGCCATTTCTACTCATCCATTCCCGGTTCCCAATGAGAACAGAGTATTTTTGAGGTGTCACAGTAGCTAAAAGAAGAAAATACAATCCTAGCAGCACATGGAAAACCAGGAAGGTTCCCTCCAGCTAATCTTACCCAGGTTCTCCCAGTATACACTGAAATATCATTACAGAGAATCCAAACAGAAAGAAAAGTAATCTTTCTTTATACTTTCTGCCCTACCCATCTTCTCATGTCTTCTTAATAAGACAGACACTAACATTTCTTCAGTAATGGTTAGTTACTACATCAGTGGACCAAGAATCACAGGTCAAGGGATGTAAAAGACCAAATACCTTTCTCAGTGTTTTTAATTTGTATGTAACAGCCCAATACAGTTGAAAGGTCTAACAATGAGCTGTTCTTGATTCAAAACTAGTTAGTTGTGTAAAAATATAAAATTCTGGCTAACAAATGGTAATTTGGAATGAAGCAAAGTAAAAACAGTGAGAGCTGCAAGACCATTCCTCTGTGATTTTCCAGCCCCATATGCAAGATGTAACTCCAAATTGTATTTAATCAAAATGTCCTAAATGATGTGTGAGCATGAAATAAACTAATGATCAACTAGTTCACATGAGCCTTGATGCAAGCCAGGTTCTCCAGAGAAGAAGAAAGTTAATTGATTCTTAAGGATGCTAAAGACATAAAAGCAAAATTATCTATTTTATTCTATAAACCAAAGTTGCTTACTTGGTAGTTCAGCATCAATAATCAAGGCAGGCTGCACTGATTCATCTGTATTTTCCTCAATTTTCACAAGTGTCACATTTTTAACATTGTTTTCTTCAACCATTCTGTTTTTCTTGTAGAGTAATGCTTCAATATGTGTGACTTTACAACTAATGCCACAGCCTGGAACTACCTGAAAATCTGTACATGTCCCAAGGGTTTCCGAGTCCAGCTCCTAAATAAAAAGGATGCAAACTAACAAATTTTTAAAATACACAAAAGCATGCTGCATTTACAAACCCCACAAAATAAAGTGCAGCCAAACTAACTCTTAACAAATGCAGAGAAATAATCAATCATCAAAACATAAGTTTGAGTATCCAGTGCATCTAATATTGTATTCAGTGATTCATGGGGCTCCACAATTTTCAGCTTCCCCAACTGAACACATCGCTGTCTTTCTCAAGAAAACCAATTAAGTACTACAAGAGAGGCTCTTTTTGGATCTAGAAGAAAGCCTGAGAGGGACTTTTTATAAGGGCATGTAGGATAAGGGGTAATGGTGTTAAACTGGAAGAGGGGAGACAGAGGTTACACGTTAGTAAGAAATTCTTTAGTGTGAGGGTAGTGAGACACTGGAAGGTTACCTAGAGAGGTTGTGGCTGCCCCATCCCAAAAAGTGTTCAAGGCCAGGCTGGGTGGGACTTGGAGCAACCTGATTCTAGTGGGAGGTGTCCCTGTCCAGGGCAGGGGGCGTGGAATGAGATGATCTTTAAGGTCCCTTCCAACACAAACCCCTCTTTCCTGTATAAATAACTTACCCTTTTGCAGTATTTTGTTATTGCTACTCCAAGAGGATGCTCACTATTACTCTCTGCAGTTCCCACTATTGCCAGCATTTTATTATGTGGTAGCTGGTTGCCCTCCACTAGGAACTTCACCTGCATCACTTCTGGAGTCCCATGAGTAATAGTGCCTGTTTTGTCAAATACAACCACCTTCACCTGCAGCAAAACAGGAAGATTTCATTCAGTGAGCAGAGCTTTAATGTATATATTCCTCAGAAAACCAGCCAATTTAACCCCACTCATTATGTCCTGATCACAACTCACTAACAGGTATGGATGGAGACTCGATGATCTGCTGAAGCAGGAACCAGCAAAACACCGATGCCAGCCTTTAAAGTCCTTGTAACAATAATCCTCATTTCTCACCTTATGTGCCATCTCCAATGGCTCTCCTCCTTTGATCAGTATCCCATTCTGAGCTCCTACTCCAGTCCCAACCATTACAGCTGTGGGGGTGGCTAATCCCAGAGAACAGGGGCATGCAATGCACAGGACTGTGATGGAAGCTTGGAAAGCAAAGCGGATTATCACTTCAGCTGCAGAAATGCTCTTGTTGTAACCCTGGTGACAGAAGTGTACTTTAGTAACAGAAGAAATATAACAATGTATTCAAGGACACATTGCCTTTAGTATTAAAAAAAATAAATTGGCAAATACCAAAGTGAAAGTATTCATATTAAAAAGTGAAGCACAGGCAAATTAACAGGAGTTGATTCATTACTGCAGATTCTCTATAAGTATCAAAGTAGGAGTAATACAATGTAAACAATACACAATATAAAAAAATCATTACAACAATAATGTTTTAATATCTATAGTCAGCAACTGTCTGCCAAAATAATTCAGAAAGGGAACTACTGCAGTCTAATAGACTTGTAGACTAAGTACCTTTTAAATATTTCAGAAGGTGTGTTTAAAGGGGACTTACTTACCATAAAGTATTTTTCTACTATTTCAAAATCCACAAATCCAATTATAATCCAGGCAAAAAGGGTCACCACAGAGACAGCCACAATACAGGGAACAAAGTATCCACTAAGTTTGTCTGCAAATTGCTGGATAGGAGCCTAGAAGGAGAAACACATCAGCTTCAGCAACATGACGGATTCTGTGCCTTCAGACATACATACAACCACTTTTGTTTGCAGCACATATGGCACACCACACTTTACAACTACATATTTATTTAATAAGACAATTACACTTGTAACAGGAGATTTTATCAAAGTCCTTATTCAGCAAGATACCTCATTATGCAACTGCAGTTAAAATCTAAACAAACTTAATCACTCTTCAAATGATTCCGTACCCTACTGTCTAAACAACGAGACAAAACCCAGATGCTTAAATTTGATAATCCTCTACCTTTGAGGTCTGGGCCTCCTCCACAAGTTTAACAATCTGGGAAAGAGACCATTCCTCTGTGATTTTCCAGCCCCATATGCAAGATGTAACTCCAAATTGTATTTAATCAAAATGTCCTAAATGATGTGTGAGCATGAAATAAACTAATGATCAACTAGTTCACATGAGCCTTGATGCAAGCCAGGTTCTCCAGAGAAGAAGAAAGTTAATTGATTCTTAAGGATGCTAAAGACATAAAAGCAAAATTATCTATTTTATTCTATAAACCAAAGTTGCTTACTTGGTAGTTCAGCATCAATAATCAAGGCAGGCTGCACTGATTCATCTGTATTTTCCTCAATTTTCACAAGTGTCACATTTTTAACATTGTTTTCTTCAACCATTCTGTTTTTCTTGTAGAGTAATGCTTCAATATGTGTGACTTTACAACTAATGCCACAGCCTGGAACTACCTGAAAATCTGTACATGTCCCAAGGGTTTCCGAGTCCAGCTCCTAAATAAAAAGGATGCAAACTAACAAATTTTTAAAATACACAAAAGCATGCTGCATTTACAAACCCCACAAAATAAAGTGCAGCCAAACTAACTCTTAACAAATGCAGAGAAATAATCAATCATCAAAACATAAGTTTGAGTATCCAGTGCATCTAATATTGTATTCAGTGATTCATGGGGCTCCACAATTTTCAGCTTCCCCAACTGAACACATCGCTGTCTTTCTCAAGAAAACCAATTAAGTACTACAAGAGAGGCTCTTTTTGGATCTAGAAGAAAGCCTGAGAGGGACTTTTTATAAGGGCATGTAGGATAAGGGGTAATGGTGTTAAACTGGAAGAGGGGAGACAGAGGTTACACGTTAGTAAGAAATTCTTTAGTGTGAGGGTAGTGAGACACTGGAAGGTTACCTAGAGAGGTTGTGGCTGCCCCATCCCAAAAAGTGTTCAAGGCCAGGCTGGGTGGGACTTGGAGCAACCTGATTCTAGTGGGAGGTGTCCCTGTCCAGGGCAGGGGGCGTGGAATGAGATGATCTTTAAGGTCCCTTCCAACACAAACCCCTCTTTCCTGTATAAATAACTTACCCTTTTGCAGTATTTTGTTATTGCTACTCCAAGAGGATGCTCACTATTACTCTCTGCAGTTCCCACTATTGCCAGCATTTTATTATGTGGTAGCTGGTTGCCCTCCACTAGGAACTTCACCTGCATCACTTCTGGAGTCCCATGAGTAATAGTGCCTGTTTTGTCAAATACAACCACCTTCACCTGCAGCAAAACAGGAAGATTTCATTCAGTGAGCAGAGCTTTAATGTATATATTCCTCAGAAAACCAGCCAATTTAACCCCACTCATTATGTCCTGATCACAACTCACTAACAGGTATGGATGGAGACTCGATGATCTGCTGAAGCAGGAACCAGCAAAACACCGATGCCAGCCTTTAAAGTCCTTGTAACAATAATCCTCATTTCTCACCTTATGTGCCATCTCCAATGGCTCTCCTCCTTTGATCAGTATCCCATTCTGAGCTCCTACTCCAGTCCCAACCATCACAGCTGTGGGGGTGGCTAATCCCAGAGAACAGGGGCATGCAATGCACAGGACTGTGATGGAAGCTTGGAAAGCAAAGCGGATTATCACTTCAGCTGCAGAAATGCTCTTGTTGTAACCCTGGTGACAGAAGTGTACTTTAGTAACAGAAGAAATATAACAATGTATTCAAGGACACATTGCCTTTAGTATTAAAAAAAATAAATTGGCTAATACCAAAGTGAAAGTATTCATATTAAAAAGTGAAGCACAGGCAAATTAACAGGAGTTGATTCATTACTGCAGATTCTCTATAAGTATCAAAGTAGGAGTAATACAATGTAAACAATACACAATATAAAAAAATCATTACAACAATAATGTTTTAATATCTATAGTCAGCAACTGTCTGCCAAAATAATTCAGAAAGGGAACTACTGCAGTCTAATAGACTTGTAGACTAAGTACCTTTTAAATATTTCAGAAGGTGTGTTTAAAGGGGACTTACTTACCATAAAGTATTTTTCTACTATTTCAAAATCCACAAATCCAATTATAATCCAGGCAAAAAGGGTCACCACAGAGACAGCCACAATACAGGGAACAAAGTATCCACTAAGTTTGTCTGCAAATTGCTGGATAGGAGCCTAGAAGGAGAAACACATCAGCTTCAGCAACATGACGGATTCTGTGCCTTCAGACATACATACAACCACTTTTGTTTGCAGCACATATGGCACACCACACTTTACAACTACATATTTATTTAATAAGACAATTACACTTGTAACAGGAGATTTTATCAAAGTCCTTATTCAGCAAGATACCTCATTATGCAACTGCAGTTAAAATCTAAACAAACTTAATCACTCTTCAAATGATTCCGTACCCTACTGTCTAAACAACGAGACAAAACCCAGATGCTTAAATTTGATAATCCTCTACCTTTGAGGTCTGGGCCTCCTCCACAAGTTTAGAGTCGTGTCAGCTCCAACATGGGTTGCTGAAATCAGCAGCGACCCATTCTGATTGATAGAGCCTGCAATGACGGTATTGCCAGGCTTTTTAGTCACAGGCATCGCTTCACCTGAGGAAGGGACAACAACAGACACCAGGGGGTATTTTTCAGCAATATTATAATAGCTTCCAACTCCTAACACACAATAAGAAAAGATTAGGTTCAACTTCCCTTCCTCAGGTTTGTTTAATGGAAACAAAGCACATTTTCACACCTGCAAAAAGCAAATGCTGACCTGTGATAAGAGATTCGTCTACCATAGAGTGTCCTTCAATAACTCGACCATCCACTGGGAATTTGCCTCCTGGCACCACTTTGACAACATCACCTCGTTGAACCAGTTCAACATCAACTTGCTCTTCACTAAAATGATGAATAGTGTTTTAAACAAGAGATAGTTAATCAAAATTATCCAGGCAAAAGGAGTTGTCACTATACACAAAGCTAATCCCTTTGGTTGATGATAATGTACACAAAAATTGTGAGCAGAAAGGCCATTTTAAAGAGCACTACTATTATTTTATAAAAATTTTATTTACTTTCCAGTAGAGAAAATTCACTCATTTTCTTATGACAGCAAAAATGAACAAGATTAAAAAAACACAAATCAGAGCAGTGTTAATGTTTCTGTATTTTAACATTTATATCTAAGATTTAAATCTGCAGTTATTTGCTTCATAGTTCTACAGAATGGTAATATTTGTCTGCAAATTAAGCACATTAAAAACAAAGGAACAACAAAAAGCAAATGACAAAGCAAGATACCTTAAAAGAACGTTACCAGGGCCCAAGGTAACAATAGTAGCTTCAGTAGCTTGTAATGAAATTAGTCTTGCCAGAGCTTCTGATGTTTTACCCTAGAATAATAATTTTCATATTTTTCTGACTATGCTATTGAAAAAAATTGCCGGGTAAATGACAACTGCAGATGTTGCAATTTACCCCATTAAGAAGATACTTCCTGCAAACAGACTTACATTAAGTCATTTCACATTTTTACTAGTTCAGTTAACAAAGATAATTTTACAACAAAGGTTAAAAAACCTAAGAAAGCTTACTTTGTTTTGTTTTTTTAAAGGTGCATAACATTCTGAAATTATTCTTAGTGTCCTGCAGCTTATAGATACCATGAGCTTTTATCTTCCTTACCTTTGCAACATGCTCTAGCCACCGGCCCAGGGAGATGAACACAAACAGCATAGGGGGTGTGTCAAAGAATGTGATGGGGTTTACTTTTGCTTTCTCAGCCATTGCAACTAGAAGAATAACAAATGAGTAGACGAAGGCAATGGAGGTTGCCAGAACAATGAGCACGTCCATATTTGCAGTTTTGTGCTTCACTGCTTTGTATGCCTGGATATAGAAGTGCCAGCCTCCAAATATCTGTGAGAAGAGCATCAATATTTTATGCACACATTTCTAAACACAGAGTGGCAGCATTTCCACTAGAGAAAGACACCCGTGTTTTATTTGCATTATTTGCCTCCTCCACCCTTTTCTGAAGAAAGGTCCTGCTCTAACCAAGGGCTGTCATCTCTACCACAGGGTTCTCAGGTCTTCTCACCTCCCTGCAGCCCCACCAGCCTGTCCCCGTGCCCACCAGTGCAGCCACCCTGGCTGTCCCAAATGCTGCCTAGATCCACAGCACCTCAACACAGAAGCAGCACACAACAACCTCAAGAGCATTTCAAATCAGCATAATTAGTCACTTTTCAAATAAAATTTCTTCATTGCCTTCCATTCTGAATATTTAAGCCCCACAAACTGGGAGTTGTCATATTCCCACTTACCTGTACAGGGATGCAGAGTAAAAATGACAGAAAATTCATAACAGACAATCCTGGTAGGAGCTGGTATTCCAGGATCATAGAGGAGTGAAGGGCCTCCATTTCCTCACTGCTCATGTTGTGATGTGCATGAGCATCTGAGAGCTGACTGTCCATAACCATCATGTAAATCATCAGCCCCATGACAGGAATACAGAAAACAAGACTCACAACGAAAGATCTTTTCCACCTCAGATACAAGAAAAAAGAAAAATAACTTCTTTTGCAGACAAGTACTGGATAACAATTTAGCTAGCAAGCCTGCACAGTCACACAAATAAATGAGTAACTTTACTGTTGATTAAAAAAAGAAGACTCAAAGATATATACAGAATTCAAATACAATCAGGAATACTTACTGCCTTATTTCCTGTTTGTGATCTAGATGACTAGCAGATCTATCTTTTTTGACCAATGAAGTAGTGAAACCTAAGTCCTAAGGAAAAAAGTGTAATAACAACAAAAGAGAAGAGTCAAGTTTTAAAAGACATTTTGTTCTCATACATTTATTGCCAGATTATTGATGGTGCCAGTCTTACATTTAATTTTACTTTATTAACTTTTCTGATTTAATTGTTATTATTTTTAGTTACCTTGCAAAGAGAGAAAAGCAATCTGATGCGGAAATCAATCAACATTTCCAGAAAATGAAAATGCTATTCTAAAATGTAGCTTTCCAAAATGGCTATTCATGAAGCATAGGATAAGATAAATTGAGGGAGAAGGCCAAGAAATTTATTTCACCTCTGTTGCTACAGTACTCGTGGATGTACTTTATTTTTCTGCAAACCTATAGCTGGCATCTTCAACTCTACTACACCCCGGCTTTCCTAGTATTTCTGTTTAAAAACTTAGGCAAAGTTACAATAGAGCACTCCTTCTGAGCCATAACACACATTAACTACAGAAACCTGTGCTATGAAGATGGCAGATGGAAGAAGAGAGACATTTTTTTCCTTTGATAGCCTTCTATTTCCTTCTGGTTCTGGGGTAACTCTTCAAAGGACACTGGATATTTTAAAAGACTGGGTAACATCATGAAACTTACCTTTATCACTTGTATAACATCTCGAGGACCTATAACTTCAGGATCATATTTAATGTGTGCTTTGTTGGTTGCAAGAGCTACAGAGCAGTACAAAACACCGTTTGTCTTCATGAGGGTGGATTCTATTTTGTGTACACAAGAAGCACATGTCATTCCTCTCACCTGCAAAATAAAGGTTCCTTCCTGTTATCAGAAATACAGGATACTCAGTAAGTCCATCTCAAAAAGAAGGAAAAGTGCTTATGACTATCCTGAACTACTTACTGCATCTTTCTGGGGTTTGAGGCAGTGAGGTGGAGCTCTCTAGTTAAGGATGAGAGCACTATAGAGGAAGAATAGCATAGAGACAAGGTTATTAAGGTCTGCTAAAGCTCTGCAGAGCTCCAGTCTGGGGTACTGGCCACACTGAGCTAGACTCAGCTACAAAAAACCCAACAACAAACAAAAGAAATTCCTGCAATAGGCAGAGTAATCAAAAAACCCACTGTATTATGTCTCCAACTGCAGTGCAGTAGTGAGCCAGCACAGTCTGCAGGACAAGATACAGTTTGTGATAAATACCTGATGTACTCTTATACTTCAGTTTTTGTAAATTTAGCTCTGTTATTTGATTAACACTTTAGGATGCAGATGCTAAGACAAACACATCCAATATATAAAAGTAATAAAGATGGGGGTGGTTCATTTTAATTACTAGCTTACAACAAGTTCCAGAATTCCATCTCCTTCACCACAATTTTCCATCACGGTAGCTCCAAATCCCAGCTCCCGAATGAGCTCTGCAATAGCTGAAGGGTGAATGACAGCAGGATTATACCTCACTTCTGCCTTTCCTGCCATTAGGGCAACCAGTATCGAATGTATTCCTAGGAAACAAAATGTGTGGATGGCAGATGAAGGAAACCCACTGCATTTACAGTGATATGATGGCACAAGAGCAATTTATTGAAACTGAGTAAGCTACCACATTGCAGGTATATGTAAAGAAAAACATAATTTTTGGAAGAGACATCAACAATGCAACAAAAGCACCTAAGGATAGGTAGGTGTGACAGACCAAAGTGCTACTCCCCATGATTTGCCTAGTCTTAGCAGTCTAATTATTAGCAGTCTAACATTCAAGCTACGCTATATTTTTTACTTAGAAGTTCTTCAAAAAAACAAGCCTGCTTATTTTTCTGATCTGCATTTGCCACTTCTAAAAGCTGTTTCCTCAAGAGAGGACGTGTATGAGATCTTAAAACATGCAACATGTAAACTAAGTTTAAAGGACTTAGAATAATCCATTGTCCAGGATGGAAAAATTAAATTCCAGGTTAACTTGGAACACATCCATCTTCCCTATGATAATTAAAGACAATCTACATTACTGACTCTTCATTACATCATAGTTATGCAATATTTACTCCTGCAAATACAATCCTCACACTGACAGAAGACAGACAGTTGTCCTATGTGCCCACAGAGCAGCAGGAACAACATTGTTCTCATCCTAGGAACCAAGTCATCAGACTCTTCTTTCCCATGTGACACACCTGCAGTGGTAGTTCTCTTGACAACCCACCCATTAAAAATGCTGTACAAAAGCTAGATGGATTCTCTAAAAGAAATGCTTAAACATTTAACAGGTTACACTGACATATCTTACCATCTTCTCTTCTCAAATTTCTCTCAATGTTGGCTACACATGATGCACAAGTCATCCCTGTGACTTGGACGTAGCACTTTGATATAGTCTTTGTCTCTTGTCTAGTGAGGTGGGTTGGTGACACTTTGGAGGGAAGCTCGTTTTTGTGAGACTCCAGCTGCCCTTCTGGTGAGGGCTGAGATAGTTTTGCCTTTGCTGAAAAGGAAATTGCAATTCATGACATTACAAACAGCCACTGCAGTCAGGTATGAGCTGGTACCAGCCAGAAATACATTGTGCTGTGAATTTAGACCAAAAAATGTTAATTGTACATGTTGTGTCAATCAGATTCATCCATCTGTCAATTAAAGCAAAAGAAAACAAGATGAAGCGTTGAGCCACTGATTAACTTAATGTTTTGTTACTACTTTTCCTTTTGCCTTTCCTCCTTATATTGGCCTGTTCTGTTGCACATCCTTTGTCCTCTTCTGTAGGTTGTAAGCTAAACCTCTGCACTTCAACTTTGAAATTCTATTTCTCAAAATTTAATCTTACTGAATCAAGAAACAGAGCTTCCCTGTCCCTTCAGGAAGCCTCGCCTGCTACGTTTATTTAATTATCTCATTGACAAAAGGTATAAAGCTTCTCTTGGCAAGTACAAGCTACCTGATAAATTTCCTCCTGGATGGTTCCAAACAGTAAACAGAACTGCGCAACCCTTTTGAATTTAAAAGTTTAATACATACCTGATAAGGATGCATCAAATCCCATCTCCTCTATCGAGGCTCTCAGGTCTTCTGGGCTCGTCTGCAGAGGGTCATACTCTATAGTCCCGTTACGATTTGCGAGAGACACACAAATAGACCTGACACCTGCTTTTTGGGACACGACTCCCTCGATGGACTGGACGCAAGAGTTGCAAGTCATTCCCTCAATGTTGATCACAGCAACTTGAGTAAGTGGCTGGCCAGCATCCTTCAGAGGTGGCTGAGGAGACTTCAGTGGAGAAACCAGAGTGGGGAAAAGTGCTACGTTTTCATGTTCATCAGGAAGGCTGACTTTAAATGTCTCTGGAGACACTGCCTCAATGGCTTTTCTCAGTAAATCTATGCTAATTAAGTTTGGGTTATAGTTTATAACAGCAGATTTCTTCTCTAAGGAAACAACTATGCTTGTTACTGATGGGAGTGCTGATATGGTGCTCTGAATATTGAGGACACACGACCTGCAGTGCATGCCATCGATTCTGAAGACAACTGTCTTTCTGTCATTCATGTTGCAGTTTGCTTTCAGTGTTGTCTCAGAGCCTTTGGTCTGAGTATTCCTCAACCTTTCCAGGTCAATAGCACTGAGCTTGAGGGGTCTAGGCTGCTTTCTGAAGGATGCTGTGAAACCTGCTGCTTCAATTTGGTGTTTTATTTCTTCTGCTGTAATTAGATGAGGCTGGTAGACAACAACAGCTTCCTGATTGTCCAGGGACACTGAAAATTAACCAATAAAAGTAAGTGTGCATTACTGCCCTAAGCATAATGAGCATGTTGCCTTAAGTGCAATAGATCTTGCCAAAGCTTTCCAAGAATGCTTTAAATGCTCATAAATGTAACTGCAATCAAAAGGAAATTTAATTGATTTGGTAAACATAAAACAAATCACTTCCTCAAGAATTTGTACTACAACAACTTTCATCTCTTCTTTTACTCAAGTTTTTGCTCTGAATACTGTCACAGGCAACAGCAACAGCCTCACCACAACTTCACTTCTTCAACCTCATCCTTTCTTCACTTCTAGTCCAAACTAAACATGTAACTAGATATCTGGCATACACAAAGAGTAACTGTCAGACTAAGCTATCTAATCTAAACCAAAGATATCTCCACAATGCAATCAGAGAACAGTATGGTTAACTTCAATTTACATAAAAATACACTTGGGTTTTACCTTTAATCCGCTGAATTCCCTGCAATTTGCCAATCTTCCCCTCGATGGTGCTGGTGCAGGAATGACAAGTCATCCCCTCTACTTTCAGTCGCAGCACAACACTACTTGCTTGAGACCAGCTGGGATCTTCAGAAGCTCCAGGCATTACCTCTGGTGCAGAGATATTTAAATCGACTCCTGGGACCATCTGAATAATCTGCTTGCCATTTGTAATGGCAGAAATGAAAGTCACCACTGCAGTCTTTTGATCAGAAGACAATTTAACATCCATGATACCTCTGTTCTTTAGTAGTGTGCTACAAATCTGTTTAGACGTTAGGGCTGACTGAGTAGGAATTGTAAGAAAAACAGTGTCAGGTAAAACAGGTTGTGGGTTTGAATCAGCTAATGTAGCATCAAATCCCATGTCATATATTGCTTCCTGCAGTGCTGTCGGCGTCTGCAGCTTTGAGTCATAAATGACGACTGCCTTCTTCTCCTCTAGAGATACCTTGCAAGGCAAAAAAGACCAGAACAATTTAGCAAACTGCAATAGTAAGAGATAAGAATACCCTGCACACAACTAGAAATAGCTGCATATCTTAGCAATACTTGTCCAGTATAATTTTATCCATCACTACTCACCTTGAAGAGTAAAGCCACATCAATAGCCACTATCAAGTAACTTCTGCTCATCTGTGTAACACAGCTAGAAGCAACAATATTTTTCCCCCACCAGTTTCAGAATCCTTTACAAGTCTGTCTGCCCACTTATGACATCCAGACAGCATCAAGACATTAATGAACCTTCCAGAGCCAAACCATCTTGAATTATGATGACTAACCCAGTTCAGTCCCAAAATCAAAACAGCCCCCACAAAAAATTCTAATCACATGTACAGTTCTGCAGTTAGTAGTAATTACCCTTAGGCTACAGAAATGAAGGAAAACACTCTTTGAAAGAATGCAGAGATTATTTTTAAAGAAGAAATAAAAGAAGTCCAGTATTTCTAGGCATCTTGGGCACAGGCTGCAAGCAATAAAGCTCATCAGACTTCACAGAACAAAAATCAGTTTCAAAATTTGAGAGATGATGAACATTAAAGAAGGTGATTGTCCTCTGTCTGTACATTTTGGTGATCCAGAGACGTCCTGATTTGGTACTAACCTTTCACATCTGATGGTACAAATATCCTCAATCTAATTTGTTCCCAGCTGATGATACATCAAATACAATTATTGCAATTTCCAAAAGGGAAAGCCAATGCCTGCCAGAGGCCTAACACATTATCATTAAATTCTATCTTTCCTCTGGGCAAAGGTACAACCAAAACACCAGTCACAATTAAATTAGAAGAGTTAAATCATTTTAAGAACCACCTTTCTTAATTTCTGTCCCAATTACAGGCCTTAGCAGAACGAGCAACATGGACATTTATTGGTTTATTTGCAGTTAGAGGCAAAATAACTTAAATGCAGCTCTGTCTGTATTAGCTAATATTCATCTCCCTTGCTGACCTAATTCATAATCACTAAACAAACCTGTTTTACTGTATGCAGCTTTTTGAAGAAAATGATCTGGTTAAATTGGAACTTCTGATGCTGTACTGAGCATAATTTTCTTATAGGCCTGTTCTATTTAGACTAAGTTTGTAAAGTATTTTCTTGCCAAGAGTAGCTTTAGAAACAATATTCAGGTTTAGAATAAGGTATTTACCTTAAAATCTAATTACAACACTCTTAATTCTGCCCTTTTAAAAATGTGCTTCATTAATTATGTAAATGACAGTGTGTGATGCACATTGTCTTCAAACAAGTTAAAGTGTGAATTTCTCCTCTCTCAAGTAATCTGTATGTTCTCAGAAATTAGTTGAAACAACAGAGATGCAAAATTGACAAGATAAAGCCTTTTGCTAAGAATGAGGGAGAAAGAGAGGATTATCTGAGGTCATTATTTCCCAGAGTGCTTTTAGCCTTTGTTTGACTTCATGCTTGCAGATGCCCAGTGATTTCTCTGACCATACTGTGCTACATCTGTTAACAGCAGTTTCCCTATTTCTAAAACACCATTCCCTGATTCAAAGTTCTGGTGTCATGAGCTCAGCCCTGTATCACATCAAAGCTCCATCAAAGTTGAAGGAAGAAGAAAGATGACATGCCTGGTAAATATTGCTGCTGTTCACCAAAATTTCTGTGTGTGTATATGAACATCTACTTCAGGCAAAGGAACCAGTACCAAGCAGTGCATCCTTTGTCCAGAATGGTGCACCACAGTGAGTCCTTCACTATCTGCTAGAGGTAACAACCACATGACCCCACAAGCCAGCAGACCCTATTCTGGGAAGGAAAATGTTCACCTAAGACATATCCACTAAAACTGAAACTATCTTAGAAAGGAAGGTAATATTTTCTTTAGAGTAAATTACTGCAGAATGTTCCAGCATTATTTCAGAACCTAGATACTACATAATTAAGCTTTGCAGTTTTCTGTTGCTGCTCTTGTTTAGGACTGTTCTTCTAGCACAAATTAATTAATAAAACTAATAGGAATCTCTCAGCTTTTAAATTGTTTCCATTATTAAAACTGTTGTAAAATGATGCATTGTGTAGGAATCATCAGCTCATCCTGGAATATTCTACAGTCCAATACTTTTCCCACAACACAAAAAATACTAACAAAACAATGTGTCCCCTCCGAGTTAAGAAAAAAATAAGATAAAAACGAAGTCAGACCAAGGAAGTCTGTTTTAAGGGCAAACCAAGTAGCTCTATTAACTGTTCAAGACTGAAGTTCTGTTGCTCCTTCTCTCATTTCCTCATGGGCAGTTCAAATGAAAGGAAACTTCCAACACTTGAAAGAGCTCACAAGACTTTCCTTTGTCACCAGGATTACCTGCTACTCTTATTTCACGAACCACAACAAAACAGCTTTATTATTTGTGGTGGGTCAACTACCACCTGATTAACTTATCTAAGTCAAGCAACAAATGAACCTGTACAGTGACCTCTGAAGGAAAAAGCCTGGAGGCTTGAGAGCAAATCCAGATATTTACAGTGTAAGGGACCAGGGCAGCTTGTTGGTTTTTTCACCAGTCTAAGTGCTAGGGCTTTTGCTTTATCCTACATTTCCTGTTCTTGCCTTTTTTTGTTTTTACTTTTTTCCTCAGTAATTAATTACTTGCAAACTAGACAATTACTTAAGACTAACAGGTAATGGCTTAGCTCTCACTGCAGTGAAGTAAGCACTTGTTTTTCTCTTATACCAGAAACACACCAATGCCTTTCTAACAAAAATTCCCACAAAACATAAGAGAATATACTCTTCCCATGCATTTTTCTCCTGTGATGCACACTTTATTGTCGTTTCTCATATTAAAAAGCTTTGTAAGAAACAGTGATGGTGTTACTTACCTTAATGTTATGGATACCATTCATCTTCCCAACGTGCTCTTCAATGGTTTGAACACAAGAATTGCATGTCATCCCCTCCACGCTGATGACTATGGATTTTGCCTCCATGGTGAAATTCTACTCAAGTCTTCTCATTGCTGTTGGTGAAAAACAATTCAGACATTTGTTCTTAAATAATTTCACAGAGATAGAAATCAAAATAGGGATCTACCAGATGATGTATTTGGCCACATGTAATTCATAATAGATGCCAAATTTCAAGGAAAGCTGAACAGGAAGAAGAACTTGAGTACTTATTTCTATGAATTTTCAAAAAGGGAAAGTGTTCAGACATTTGCTATTTGATTTGTGTAACAATCAAGATAGTTTAATTGCACCCAGGAAGCTGTGATTCACCGGTGTGTGAGAAGAAACTAGAGAGAAGCAGGTGAGAAGAGACCCCAGCTCTTGCAATTCTAGAACGAGAGGATGACAGAGGCACAGTGGCAATCATGTTCTTCCACATCTATCTCTCATTATTACCCTAAATAGCAAAAACAAGTGATATTGAAATCAGCCCTATGAAGCAAATTAAGATGTTCCGTATTTCACTCAGAAAAGTCTAACTTATTATATTTATAAAAACAACATTACACTTATCTATTATTATTACAGTTTGTTATGGACAAAGTATTTATTCTGTTTTCTCAATTTGTTTCCTTGCCCTTCTGCTGTTCACATATAATCACTTCCACCCTTTTGTACACAGCCTTATGTTTTCCTACTTAAAGATACCATTGCGTAAAGAGAAACAGGGATTACTAAAGCTATTCTGCCCTAGTGGCCTAATTAAATAAATAAAGTTTGTAAAGTGACTTCGAAGATGATTGATGATATTTACACAAGTGGACGAAAATACCCTGCAGAAATTCAGGACCACTTATGTTGGAATCTTATCATGTCAATAGAATGTCCTCCTTGTATGAAGCGAATGCTTCATACAGCCACAATCTTCCCTTAAAACAAAACACATCCTTTGCTATTTGTGTTTGGATTTAAATAAGAAATCAAAAGCATTCAAACTTCAAACACTCCACTGCCCCAGGGTTTTTTTGTTGAGTTAGTGACGTTTGTTGGTTTTCTTTTGTTCCATTTTGGTGTTTTTTTTTTAAGATTTATCTCCTAGGACTGATCAGGGCCCCATGGTATTAGGAACTGTATAAACACAGCAGAGAAAATACTTTCCTGGAAAATTCTGTAACACAAACATGCAAGAAGTATAAGGGCATATGAGGAAAATGAGGTTTTATATATTTTGCCCTTCAAGGTCCCAAAAAGGTATTAGGACTGCACCCATAACTTCTATCACAGAATTTATCTATTGGATCAAACTGTCTCGTTTGTTCTCCAGTTTTTAATTAATCAACACTAGTGGATCTATCTGATGTGTGTACCATTAACAGCTCTCTCTGTTGGTGGGGAAGACAACAAACAAGGATTTTTGTTTTGTTGCAAGTTGCTAACAGTTTCCATACCATTTTTAAGATGTGATCAAATCTAAAGACAACAAGCAAGCCTTTTGTAAGCCACACTGCCTCCTCACATCAGTTACATTCTATTACTGACACTGAACTGAGGAACAGCACATTCACAGTCTCAAGTTTTCTGTACAGCCTTACTAAGATTTCTGAAGACCAAAAGGTTTCAATTCAGCTACTGCTGTTTCAGAATATTATCTAAAGCAGTTTCAGCTTAACAAAAGCTTTCTCTTTGAACAAACTCCATAAAAGCTTTTTGTAGTCTCTACCACACTATTTACTCCTAATACCTCTAGGAACTCACAACTTCCATTCTATTCTCTTTCACTACTTCCACCTGTCTTCTGCAGTACACAAGGCAGCAATACTTCCTTGTTTGTACACCAAACACACAGCATGATATGTGTGGAGCAACCCTCAGTCACCAAACAGGAGAAGCACAAAGAATAATAAAACAAAAAGGATATTTGGGAATAAGCACAAGCCCTTGTATGCTTTTTCAGGTACAATTTCAGGCAGGATTGCCTGTGCACAAGTGAAAATCCAAATGTTTCATTTTTTTGAAGAAAATCAACTAGCATTTCCATTAAGTGAATGAAGTAACACAATGAGAAGTGATTTCTATGTTCAACAGCAATTTCTTCCTACAGAAAGAAAAGTGAAACTGTGATCAAGCACAAAGTGACTGAGAAACTAAACTTCATCTCCCCAAACAATTCTTTCAAATGTGCTAACAGCAGTCTTTGCAAGTAAAATGTCTGAAGCAAGGTAAGGTTAATTAAGTCAAAGGTAAGTAATTCACAGTCTCACATTATCAAAATAATAAAAAAAAACAACAACAAAAAAATTAAAAATATGAGAAATGCAAAGAGGAAGTTACAAGACTGGTAGAAATGCAGACTCTTATCCCTTATCTCACGAAAATCCACTTTATTGCTTCTAGTATCTGAGCTAATCCAGGCAGTGTCACAAAGCACTGAGCACCTCAAGCTCTGTGCCTTCTCCAGGATCAGCAAGGACACGTACCTTAGAAGCACACAATGTTTTCTGTGTATAATGATCCTGAATTTATAGCCACTGAAACTAGAAGAGGTCCGAGCCAGGCAAAATTCACACAAATGTCAGAAGCAGAATCTGTCAGATTTAACTACAGCATTTGGACTTAATTTAATTTCTAAATGGCCGAGTCCTGTTTTATATCTGGCTTTATTTACAGCAGCAGAAAGACAAATTACTAATCACATTAAATGGAAAAAGGCACCTGTCCCTAAAAGTCTGCAAAGACCTATGAGAAAGAGCAAAGACATGAACAGAAAAAGCTGTATCATCTCAACCTCAGGCTTAACAAAAGTGCTGGAGAATTGGTTACAGACCTGGTCCAACAGGGAATAACAAGGATTTTTTACATTCACTGGCAAACAGATACATTTGAAAATATGACTAGATAGATGAGGCTTAATCACTGAGGGAGAAACTGCACATCTATAATATCTGTCTCAGACAACTACGTGACACTCTAAATAGGCTGCAATTCATGTTGCTCAAGACTTTTAACAAGTCTTGCTTGGTCAGCAGACTATGGAAATTGCTCTCAGGGACCTTATTTCTGTACAAGCTGGCTGAAAAAAAAGTACACATTGAGAACATTGTTTCATTTCTAACAGGAGTTTTATAATCCTTGAGACAAACTCTTGGCAAATCTTTTTACTTGTTCCTATCCTTTCACTACCTCTTCAAGTCAGATTTTTGGAGAACCTGAATGCTGTCTTGGAAGAATCACAGCCAGTACTAGGAGCAGACTATAACTGGTCCTTGTTATGTGAGTACAGCCAGGCCAACTGGGGCTCCTCATATTTGAGCTGAGTCTCAAAATACAATTCAGAGCAATGTAGAATGCATTATACAAGTGAAAATAAGAATAAAGAAACAGTAAATGACATGTAATGCTACCTTCTGCTTTCCCAGTTCTCCACCTGGGAAGGAAAAAAGTTTCAGGTCTTTCATCTACAACAAAATGCACTATAATTACCAATTTCACAAAGTGCACTGTAATGCACAGCTAACTTCCATGTTACCTAACTGAAAATAAATATTTACATTCACAAATATGATTCAACAAGTATTTAAGTACAGAAATGTCACCTTTGGTGACTGCAAAAAAGAATTTAAGGAACTTCATACCAACAATAACTGTGTGCAATTTGCAGTAGAAAGATGCAGAAAGGCAACAGTTAATCTGGGTTTGCTCCTGCTCATGAGATTTTACCCCAAAGCACTGTAAACACCTATTTGCCCTTTCCCACCGTGTTCACGCTATGTTTTTCAGCACTTACTGTACAAGCAAGAAGCCAGGAGATGCCCAAGGCGATGCCCCTGACGAGCGGCACAGCCCGTTCTGCCCCCGGGGCAGCACGGAGCCCGCCGGCCCGCCCGGCCCCGGGGAGACCGCCCGCAGGGGC